TATTTTTCTATTCAAACCCATGCTGTCTTTTGGTGTTAGGTAAAAATATGTCTTTTTTTAATTCTGGAGAAACTTAGTATATTATCAATTCTGAAATAATATAGTTAACGTTATTTTAACAAGATCATTCTCATCTGCCCCATCTAATGAGGTTGCCTTTCCACATCTGGACAATCACTTGTCGGGGATGTTGTTGAGATCATTTCTGCTCAGGTCCATGTCGCATGAGTTGAACTTGGAGATCCCTTCTAGGCTGGGGATTCTGGCCATGGGCCAGGTCCTCTGGGAGGGAGGAGGGCTTCCAGTTTTAGTAACTTAGGTCATGGTTAGGTCTAGGGCCCAGGGGTTCAAAAATTCATTGGAATGACAAATCACCCCCTTACTTTAATAAGAATACAAGGGAAATGCAGGGGGAAATTATTAATCATAGGATTCCAACATCCAAAGGGCTGTTACACAGAAGAGAGCCCTAGAGGACAGAAGCAGGAGCAGAAGGTAGAAATTACAGAGAGGGAGAGTTAGGCTTGAATTAAGGGGGAAATTCCTATGAATTAGATCTATTCAAAAGTGTAATGAGATGCCTTCAGAGGTAATAGATCTTGTCACTAGAGATCTTGAAGTGGCAGTCAGATGGCCACTTTTGGGGGTGCTGTAGAGGGGATTCTTGTTCACATACCCTTTTAGAACTCTTCCCAGCTCTGTCATTCTGTGAGCATATACACAGTCTTCTTCAGGTGGGGACTCAGGAATACTAGAAGCAGCTGATTGTTAAACTTTCACCTTGAAAATTGGCAAACTGGATTTAATATTTTCTTGATTGTCCAGAGGTTCCCAAACTTATTTTGCCTACTACCCCCTTTTCAAAAGAAAAAAAATTACTCAGCACTGCCCCCCGGAAATCTACTTTCTTTAACCCTTTAATGTTGTTGCTTTTTAGATTTTTGGGTTTCTTTCTTTCTTTCTTTTTTGAAATTTACATTACCTAAGGCTACTACACCGCCCCCTTGTATAATTACAGCACCCCCACTTTGGGAACCTGTAGTAGACTTAAGAAAGTGATGGATAAAATGTTAATAATATAGATTAAACCTAAAAATGTGTTTTGCATACATATTCCCCTAGAGAACCAGTTGTTAAACATTTGTCAGGCCCCACTGTGGGGACTCCATCTTGCTTTTGGGAGGATGACAATGGTAACCAAGCAGGTGAGGCTGCTTAAGTTGACCCAAGGTTTGAATGAGACAAACACTGTGCTCACACGACGTCTAGCATCCAAATGAAAAGCGAAACTCTTAATCCTTACTAATTAGACATCTGGTCATGTGGAAACACCTTAATGCTTGAGGGTTACGAGGACATAGACAGAGCTCTAGAACTTGCAAAAAAACATTTAAGTTAGTTCTGATGGCTTTGATTTTCTCCTAGAGGGTGAGGCACGGTTGCTACAAATCTGTCTGTCAGAAGGTGTGCAGACTTCCTCCACCTCATTTCTTATCTAGAAGGGAATTGGTAGATAACAAGTTTTGGAAACCTCAAAGTGGCTGTTGGTGAGGGACCAGCTCCTAATCTAGTTTGTCTCTCATTGCTTGGCTACTCAGAAGTTTCCTGGTACAGTCTAGAGTGTTCACTTTGTGGGGCTCTGCATGACAATTGGCAAGCCATTCAACCTCTTTGGTTTCTCATTCTTAGGTCCTCATCTGGAAAATAAGGGAATTAGGTTAGATGATTTTGGAGGACTCTTCCATCTCTAACTCAATGATTCTGGAATCCTGTGACCTGAGTTTGAATCCTGTCCCTGCTATTCTACTTAGTATCTACATGACCTTGAGGGAGTTACTGCCCTGTTCTGGGCCTCAGTTTTTTCATCTGTAAAATGAAAGAGCTGGATCAAATGACCTCCAAAGTCCCATCAGCAGAAAGTGTCCTGCCCGAAAGTCACATGGATACCAAGTAGTAAAGCTGGAGGGAGGATAGGAGCCTTCCCAGAACTCATGAAATTACATCTACACAGTCACCTGTGCATAAGGCTATACGTTACTAAGCTCACTGCTCAAGCAAAGTCGTTGAAATGAGTACAAATGCTGAAAAAGAAAAAATGCAGATTGAAACTGAAGTCATTAGACAGAAAAACAGCAGACCCAAAAAGTGAGAGAGAGAGAGAGAGAGAGAGAGAGAGAGAGAGAGAGAGAGAGAGAGAGAGAGATTGGATGTGTGTCCTGGACAATGCTTAGCAAACTATAGTCTTTCAGTGAGTTGACACCCAATAAGTAGGCAGTGCAGTGAAGTAGAAAGGGCACTGGACGTGGTCTCAGACCCAGAAGACCCGGTTTCAAATCTCAATTTGTCTTCTTCCTATCTATGTGACCTTGAGCAGATCAATTAGCCACTCTGGAACTTAGCTTCACGGAATCACTGAATTTGATATTTGAAAGAGACCTCCTTGGTTGTCTAGTCTAACCCAACTGGAAGTCCAATTGAGTCCAATTCTCACTTGTAAAAATACTTATACTAGTTACCTCATGAGGTTGTGAAGAAAGTACTTTGTAGACTTCCGAGCACTACAGAAAAGGGAGCTATTATAAGAACTATCCTCCTCGGTTGACAAACAACCCACGATTCAGGTCTGGAAAGGAAGAACCTCTGCTTCTCTAGCAACCTTTTCTAGGGCTCTGTCTCATAAGTCATCCTCTTCTATTGAATAGGAAGAGCCTTCTGGTACTTCCCTTTTCCTTGGCTCTCCTCCCAGACCCTCTTGGCAGCAGCAGCTATGTTGGTAATCATTGTGCCAATAGTGGGTGCAGAGGAAACTGTTCTCATGCTGGAGAGCAGCCATAGAAATTACCACCTCCTCCCACTCCCCAACCTTTCCATCCATAGAGAATCATAGAAAGTTAGAGCTGAAAGGGACCAAAGAAATCACTCAGGCCAACCCCCTTACTTTAAAAAGGAGGAAACTGAGGTCCATCCAGGAGAAGGGATTTACCCAAGGTCACCCAGCTAATGAGTGGCACAGCCAGGACTAGAGAACTCAGCACTCTTGAAATCCAATCCAAGGACTCCTTCCTTTAGACTGAGAAGCATTTCTAAGGCCACACCCTATCTCAGGAAGATGAGAGAAATGTTCAGGAGCATGAGTTGGTCTGTCATCACAGTCCACTTCAAGGAACCATTTCATTGAATTGATTTCTTCATGAGGGGCAGAGAGGATTGAAAGGGGATTTGTAGCTTCACTCTTTGACCTATAAAGAGTGGAAATACCACAGGAGAGAGTTTGAGCCTGGCTCTGACCATTTATTCTCATTCTCTATAGGGATTAGGAGAGGAAGGAAAAGGAAGGAGGCATACAGAGAGTATGTCATACTCTAAAAAGTGTCATGTCAGAGAGGAGCAAAGAAGTAATTCCAGCCGATTAGAAAGCATCACTCTTAGGAGTCAGTTTGATCTAAAGTACCTACTTTGCCTGTCAGTCCACCAGATCCTCTATGGGCCAATCCCATAGGATCATGGGTATAGAGAAGGGATCTTATGAGTCTTCTAGTCTGACTAGCACATGTGCAGCTCTTTATTTTGCCAGATGTCCAGGCCTTCCTGCCTCCTCCTGCTTCCATTTCCTGCCCCCCAGATGTCCTTGCGTTTAACTTCAAGTTGTTGACCCAGAGATGTACATTAAGGGAAAGTTCCTATTCAGGAACCTAGTATGAGCCAAGCATTGACAGGTGCATAGACTTCAACTATGGACTAAGGCTCTCACTCAATATCTTCATTCATTAGAGAAGGCAGAATGGTGTAACAAACAGTGTTAGCCTTGGAGTAAGGAAGACCCAAGTTCAAATCCTGACTTTGACGTCGGCAAGTCACTGAAGCCTCAGTTTCCTTATCATAGAATGGTGGCAATCATACCACAGTTCCTACCTAGAAGGGCTATTGTGAAGACCAATTGAGATAATTTTGCAAAGTACTTTACAAACTTCACACTAGAAAAATGCGAGCTATTATTATTACTGACTACATAGATAAAAGCAAGGGGACAAAAAGAATGTCTTAGGGCAAATGATATATTTCTTTCATATAGATCCAATCTAGCATGCCCACTTGAAACACCTCAAGGTTAGATCACCAGAAATATTAGACAGAGGAAATTAAGGGAAAACCACCTTCCTGAACCCAGGCTCTAACAAGAGCTTTGCAAAGAACGATAGGTATCCATAAACATAGGCCTGAGCCAACTTGCATTTGGCCAAGAGAGCAGCTTGGGGAGGTATGGGTATACCTACCTTTGGGAGGTATACATACCTCTGGGAGGTATGTATACCTTTGGGAGGTATATGGAAGGATGGTAACAAGCTTATCCTTCAAGCCTGACTCACATCCCACCACCTCCTTGGCAAAGCCTTTCCTGCCTACCTCAGAAACAAAGTCGATTACAGCCTTCTTTGAGAATCTATAGCACTTCATGTTTGTATCATTCATTCAGGATGTCACAGAATGTCAAGTCTGAAAGGGTCCATTCCTTCATTTTACGGAGGCCCGCACTGAGGAAGTGACTTACCCAAGGTTGTGTGGTAATCAGTAGCTTGTGACTCTACTAGGTGTGCCACCTAGTGCAATGCTTTGTGTAGTAGACAATCAATGAAGAATTTGTGATTATATGATTAAAATGTGCTTTAATCAATTTCACCTCTCATGAACAATGAGATTTGGAGGCAGAGGACCCAGGTTCAAATCCTGGTTGTAATACTTATTACCTGTGTGACCATGGGTACGTGGGCCTCTGTGGGCCTCTGTCTCCTCTATAAGGTGACAGGCCAGACTCGATCTCAGTTTCCTTCCAGCTCTAAATATAGGAGCCTACGAACTCCTCCAGACAGTCTCCATGCTTTTCACATGTTCTTTGACAGAAAGCAATACATAGTAAACACCCAACAGAACCAATTACGAGGGCCAGACATCCCTAAACATTCCTCTAAGTCTCAGTTTACAGATCATATACGTGTCTCTCTTCCTCTGTCCAGTCACTGAGCATCTCCTTTTTGAATCACTTCAAGGCGACCTGCTGAAGAATATCTTATAAAAGAGATAGACGTTGATGATTCGTAAGAGTAAACCGATGGGATAAATGAACCACCTCATCAGGGCTGCTGCTCCATTGCAGAAGTTAAGCAGCACCAACGTGTACTTGGGTGCACCCAGAGAAGTGATGTTGAGGTCCTTTAAGCACTCCAGCTGATAAATGATACACTCAACAATGACAGAAGTCCAGATGAACTTAGAAGCCACCCTAGCAGATCTGACGGTTCTTACATGGCGGGTCTCAGCTGGAAGGAATGTGATCAGAAAGGCCTCCAGACTTACACAGCTGAGCAAAAGGGAGCTGATGTGGGCATTTGCAGTCTGGAAGTTTTGCCACAGGGCTGTCTGAAAAGAGCATGACGATCTTTCACCCTGGGAGGCATCTTGGATCATGGCAAACACACTAAACCCCACCAGGATGTCTGCCCGGGCCACATTCTGAATAAATACCACTGTGGATTTCCTGGAAATGTTGGGAGACATCAGGAGCAGCGTGACATACGAACTGGCACACAGGCCCAGCAAGCTGATGACGACATTGGGAAATGGCAAGATGAGATACTGGAGATATTTGAACACCAGATACCTTCTGAGATCTTTCATGTGATCTCGCTTGGTGAGCCCTTGGAAATGGAAAGGATACCTAAAAGGAGGGGAAGAAGGAAAGAAATTAGAGGAAGTCTTTAGTTCAAATAACAGACTTCCCCAAACCTAGGTGCATGTTTTACGTTAGCCTGATCAACTCTCTTGAGCACACTAGCACACACTAACATCTTTCATATGTTTGCTTAAACCCCTTTCAGAGCAGACTGTGGATCATCATGAAACCATACGCCCTTTGTGGTGTTGATCACTGGGTTGCATTTCCGTGCTCTTGTTGCATGCAGATGAAACGTTTGTTCACACTTGCCCTCATCAGTTCTCATGAATTGAGTAGCAGGGAAAAATAAAGAGCGATTCCATTTCCCCTTACATGGACACATTAATGCATCCACACAGAAGATGAGCTTAACTGTGAATCACGAGGGACCAGAATTTGCTAGAGGAAGGGCGTGATTCCTCCAGTTGGACGCAACTAACAGGACGATGAAAATGGAGGAGTGGGTGACAGAAGGTTTGCTCCATTGAAAATAGACCAGCTGGGCAAGACTGACAATCAAATCTCTTGTAAGTGGGTGCTGGGAGCATAGGATTTCGAGATGGAGAGCGCCTTAGGGAGGGAGCCCTCTCATCACACAGAGGAAACAGAAGCCCAGAGAGGGGAAGGGACTTGCTCCAGATCACAGAGAATAAGGAGCAGAATGAGGATTTGAATGTAAGCTCACTGACTCCCAAACTGATGCCTTTCCTAATATACCACTTAAAATGGAAGCATGGTTAGCATTCTCTTAAAAGTGAGAGTTATTACAAAGGGAATGGCTTAAGCAGCTAGGTGGCGCAGTGGATAGAGCACTGCGCCTGGAGGCAGGACCGCCTAAATCTAAATCCAACCTCAGATACTCAGGAGCTATGTGACCCTGAGCAAGACATTTAACCTCTCTTTACCTCAGTTTCTTCAGTTGTAAAGTGAGGATAATAGTACCTACCTCATAATGTTGTTGTGGGAATCGCACAGTGACTGGCACATAGTAGGTGTTTCATAAATACTTATTCCCTTCCTTTCCCCCTTATGCCTGATCAGCATTGTTTCATTCCAACCCAAAATGTTTTGTTTCATGTTAGTAATACATGTGTCTGGTAGTGTAGAACAGTAGATAAAGCATGGGACTTGCAGTCAAGAAGACCTCAATTCAAATCCTGCCTTGGACACTAGCTGTGTGACCCTGGACAAGGCACTGACTTTGCCGTGCCTCAGTTTCCTCATCTGTAAAATGAGGGAGTTGGAATTCTGGTGGTCTCTTCCAACTTGACGTCTATACTCTTATGATCCCTCCTTCCTGTTCTTTTCGTCTTCATCACATATAGTTGGTTATTCCTTCTTGTGCATGTCTTAGATCCTCAGCTTTACTCTAAACTCCTTGAGGGATGACATCTGCTCCCACATTTCCTCACAGCATACATCAGAGCAGGTGAGGGGAGAGAATGTCCATGACACAATTAAAGGACAGAGATTCAAGGGGATGAACTGGGCCAGACAAGCCAATCAAGGAGCACTACTCCCTACTCCCTCCTGACCTGCTGCTCTGCTTCTGAGCTCTCTGCCTTGGAATGGCCACTCCTGTCCCCCGCCTTACCTTTCCTTTGGGTTTTAGTGCCTGAGGAAACCCTGGTTCTCATCTGGATCTCATCACAAAACTTGTCACTCTTTAGCCAGGAGGAACCTTCCCCTAGTAACTGTGAGAGCCCTATTCACTGGTACATGTAGCAGCCCCACTGCAGGGAATATGACAGCAGTGACTGCTTCATGTATGTATTTTGTTCTCTACGTCCCTCAGCACTGTGCCTTGCCCACAAGAAATATTTAGTAATCATGATTATTGATTAATTGGGCCTCCAAAACTCAGAGAAGCAAAAACTATCAGGGGCTCTACTCAAATAGCTTTTAGAAATATTAAACAGGGGTGCAATTTGGGTGAGAAGGTGGATGACACTGATAGCAAGTTGCTAAAAGTTGGAGTGTCAAATGAAGCTTCCCAGAAGGGCCAAGAGAGATTGGAGACATCAGGGTACAATCGGGAGAAGGCTGAACTTAGAGTCAGGGAACCTGAGTTCTAATCAGCGCTCTGCTACGTCTGACCTGAAAGGCCTGGGACAAGTCACAGTGAATTAACTTCTCCGGGCCTCCATTTCCTCATCTATAATACGAGGGGGTTAGACCAGATGACCTTGGAGGTCCCTTCCAGCCATAGGTCTATATCCTCTTATATTGTAGCACTATAGAAGAATGCCAAAGGAGACTACTTAACTCAAAGAAAGGTTCATCTCTGCATCCTCTACGCATCCATAGATGTATTCTGTTTTATGACACTTCACATCAATGGGTCCACCATTGGAACTCCAGTTTCTAACTATATTTCAGAGCCTAGGGCACACCCTAGGCTATCCTATCAGGCGATATAACAGTCCTAGCTAATTCATGCCTGTATAGAATGATACCAGCTATTATCCCTGGCTTTCCTTACATGACTGGCTCACCTTCTTTTCTGGTCTCACATCATCAATAGTGTGCTGCAGCCTCTTTCTATCCACCATACGTCTTTCCTGATGGATACCCAATTGCTGCTCTGGGATCCATAAAACTTGAAAAGACCCCAAGAAAGGCTTCCAGCCCAGTGGGTGGATCTACTCTGGAGGAATACAGGATGTGGACAAGAATCAAAAAGGATAATGACTTGGCTAGGTTGTATTCTGTACCCCAAGATGGTAGAGAGTGAACAGCCATGCTGATGAGGTCATCAAGGCATGGTACATGTCATTCTCAGCAAGCAAGGAGATAGCATTGCCAACTGGTCAACCCTTTGATTGGTAGTCACTAGTGCACCTAAGTAGCTCAGACCTGAATTCCTCTTAATATGGGGGGAAGGCCTACGCTGTCAGCACTCGGATAGCGTCTGAGGAACTAACTCAACATGATCCACTGGGCTGGGTGTCAGGAGGACCAGATTCAAATCCTGCCTCAGGTTTATATACTATAATTATTGGTGTGGCCCTAGACAAGTCACTTAACTTCTCTGTTCCTCAGTTTCTCATCTGCAAAATGGAGTTGGGAATGTTTTAACTCCATAGCCTCTAAGATCTCTTCCAGCTCTAAATTTATGATTCTGTGATTTTGTGAAATAGCAGGAAAATAAAAAGACTTAGTGTCTGTCTTTTTTTTTGTCCCTGCTATTCAAGCTCTGAATGAAGGCCTTACTGCTCAGCTCAGTATTACTGCTAAGGTTACTACTTGAGGTAATTTTGCCGTCTTTTAAAAAACACCCATTCCCATAAAACCAAGACCTTTATCGGCACTTTGTCTCTAAATCCCATGCAGAGTACTTCAACCCTTAGAACTTCTCCCTAAGGCAAAAATCTTGAAATTCTTTTATTTTTCCCATTAGTGGGAAAGAAACTCACATTTTCCATTCTCTTTCTTTGAGCACATTGCTCATTAGTCAGCTAGCAGCACAGCAAGGCCAAGTCCTCAGGCAGCCTATTCCAGTGCCAATTTTGCAGGCAAACATCCCTCCCCACCCCCTTTTCTCTGTTTTATACCCTTAAAATGTAGGCACCCATTATTTGTCATTTGGAGACCCCAAAAGTGGCAGAGAAAGCCCACCACCACCACCACTGGCCTCCGGTCAATAAGAGCCACAATTAACTGGAAATGAACACCAGATGTTCAGAAAGAGAAACAAAAGCCAAGTCTGAGATGTTAACCACCAGGCCTGAAAAGCCTTGGCGCACTAGCCATTTTGGAGGTCGGGCACCGCAGAACACAGTGACCTTTGTAGTGTATAGTCAGGGTTTGGGGAACATACCCCCTTTTGTTCAGTTTTTAATCACTGGCTTGTGCCACTGGTCTAATTAGACTTTAAAAGATTTGTTTGAATCCATCAATCCCTAAGCATCTGTTAAGAACCTACTACTGCTAGGTGTGTGGTAGGTGCTAGAGTTACAAATATAAACGATAAACCAATCCTTCCTCTCATCTAAGGTTCCATGGAGTGCAACTGACTGATTGATTGGCAATACTACGTCACTAATTTAGAAAACATTTCTGTTATGTCTAAGAATCCCCCTCACCATACGTTCCTATAAAGCAGGGGCCTCCCCTCTATAGGCATGGGGAGTGACTACCATCTTTGTGTCATCATCAAATAAAAGCCCCACTGAGAAGGTGGGGAAGGGGGAATGTCTTGGGATGACAGTGGAGCCTTCCTAGAGCCCCTAAAATCATGCCAGGCAGGCAGCTGCTTTCTCTGCATACCTATAAGACTGGCCTGGGCCCCTCTCTGCTCCTGTGTGGGTATCATTTTTTTCAGTATGTGTGACTCTCTCCCTCTGTCTGTCTCTTTCACCTACCTTCTGCATCCTCCTTCCCATAATGTAATAAGAAGAACTGACATTTGCATAGTGTTTTAAGTTTACAAAGAGTTTTACATGCATCATTTTACAATAACCTGGAGAGGTAGGCACTACAAATATGATTATTCCTATTTCGCAGATGACAGAATTGAGGCTCAAAGAAATTAAATGGCTTTCCCCAAAGTATATAACCAGTAAGCTTAAGATCTGAAGCCCAAATAGTACTCCAAATTCAGTGCTTATTCCATTACACCAGCGGGAAATGAAATATAATTTGTTGCATTTATTGAATAGTTTTATATCTTCTCATTTTCATTTTAAGTGTGAACGTGGCATTTTAGATTTATCTTTCAAAACAAAGCTAAGTGAGGCCTTTTTTAACTTCATAGGAGCATAGGTTTAAAGCTGGAAGGGACCTCAGAGGTCATCTTCCATTTTACAGATGAGGAAACTAAGGCCCAGGCAGGTAAAGTGACTTGCCGAAGGTCACACAGACAGTAACTGCTACAGTCAGGCCTTAAACTGAAGTCCTCTGCCCCCAGGGTCAACATTGCAAGTTCACCTGCTGTCTCCCTGCTTCTGTGACCTGACTGATT